GTGTGTGTGTGTGTGTGTGTGTGTGTGTGTGTGTGTGTGTGTGTGTGTGTGTGTGTGTGTGTGTGTGTGTGTGTGTGTGTGCGCGTGCGAGCATGCATGTGTGCATCACGACTCACCTCCAGGTAGATGAGGGTGCGCTGGCGAGCTGCAACACGCCCGGGGCTCAGCAGCGCAAAAGCAGTGATCACCTAGGACATGGCAGTGCGAGACAGGGGGTGCGTGTGTCAGCGCTTATATGTGAATACGTACACGCATGTGTGTGATGAATTGTGTGCGTCGGAAGGGCTGACTGGAACAACGTCGCAGCTCTCCACCGCACACAAACAACACCGGGGGGCCAGCTGGCCAAATGTCACACTGGGCTGATTGGACATCAGCATGCTTGCAACCGGCGGCTGCCTGACCGCCAAATTGCGCACTGCAAGCACGACTGAGACACAGAAATTTGCAACATATGCAATAGACACCCATGCGTGCACACACCCATGCCCCCCGACCTACCTACCCACCCACCCACCCACCCACACACACACACACACACACACCACACACACGCGCGCGCACGCGTGCGCAAGCAGTACCCACGCATATCCGCGCCCCACCTCGTAGTCCTGGACGTCCGCCTGGCGCACCCCCAGGGTGACCTGGCGGCACAGCTCTGACGCCACAAAGCAGGGCGCGTTGGGGGGCGGCCAAAAGGGGGACGCGGCCGATGGGACGCCGTCCTCAGTGATCACGGGGTCGACCTCCCCTGCCTGGCTGTCGTGGCGCGACGAGATTGGATGGGGTGGGGTGCTCAGGGGGGGCGGGGCGGAGGAGGCTTGCGACGAGACATACTGCCCAGAGAAGCGCATATACCTGTTTTGGGGCGGCGCTGCATGCCGTTATCAGAGGCAGGAGCGCCCGCCAGGCCGCCCTGACGCAGCGGGGCCGAGGAGGCCGGCGCTGCCAGGGGTCCCCTTGATTTATGTGCCTCCCCATCCCCTCAAGCCCCTGCTCTCGTGTTTACGCCTTGCCCTTCACCTCTGTCTCCCTGCCCTTGCTCTCCTGCCCTCCTCTTCTCCTCATTGCCACCCTGCCAGATTCCGCCCCCTCCGCTCACATGTTCTGGATGTAAATCTCCACCCGCTTCGGCGGCAGCGGCTGCATGTCTGCCGCGACCCGCTGGAACTCGACGGTCAGCCGGTCAGGCGCGGCACGCGGGTCGTAGGCCACAGAGCGCACGGCCGAGGGATCCTGGAGGTACGCGTTTGAGGAGGCGCGCGTGTTGAAGGCTCGGTCAGCGATGATCGCGTCCTCTGGCAGCAGCCCCAGGTTGAAGCGGGCCTGGGTCGGGTGGGGGTTAGGGGTGTAGGGGGTGACAGGTGGGTTGCGGGTCGGGGGTGAGGGTGACAGCATGACAGGGGTGTGTGTGGCGCGTAGCCGGCCCTGTGCAGGCTTGGTTGCTGCGTTGCAAGGCGGCCACAGAGGCGCCTGGGCGGACGGCAGCGCGAGCATGTGCCTCAGTGCTCGAGGAAGAGCAGTCCCCTGATTGCAATTGCCCCTGCTGCCATCAGCGCGGCTGACGCCGTCTGGCTGCAGAGCCCCCCCTGGGCGTGACGCAGCAGCCGATCATCGACGCCGCCCCACCTGGTTGGCGAGCGTGTCGGGCAGGGTTGAGAAATAGCGCTGGGAGAAGCTGTAGGAGCTGCCGATGCCGCCCAGGTCAGCAGGCGCCTGCGCCGCCTGCAGCAGCGAGGGGTCGACATACCGGGGCCCCAGCGGCGCGCGGAAGCCGGTGAACGTGGACTCCACCTCCCACTCCCCGAAGAGCCACTTGGGGAAGTAGGTCTGCCGCGGGGCCCAGGGGGCGGGCGGCCCCGGGTGCGTCACGTCGCCGGCCGTCGTGGCGCGCGCCATGAGCGCCGCGCCGGGGCCGCCGCCGCCGGAGTCCCAGGGGGCGGCTAATGAGGGCGGGGGTGCAACCGCGAGCGGCGCGGTGGCGCCCGCCGCAAGCAGCAGGGCGCCCCGCCGCCCGAGGCTGCCCTGACTGAGGCTGCGGGAACCAGCTGGTACATCCACCGTGAACAGCTGTTTTGAGGTTTCGCCGCCACAGCTTGCATGGCAAGGGAGCGCCTTGCTATTGCTGCTGTTGCTGCTGCTGCTGATGCTGCTGCTCCTGCTGTATCTGCTCCATGTGGGCGTTCTCAACGCGCCACCGCTGCAGGGCTGCGCCGACCTCGCTGGCCGCAGCGGCGCGGCGCCGCGCATCCCACCTGGATGCGCCCTGTGAGAGAGCCACAGCGCGTCTGGACGATGCGCGTGCTACCAATGCCAGAGCTGCTGCACCAGGTCGCTCTCACGCTTCTTGCCGCATGCTAGACGAGGAGCCTGCGCCGCTTGAGCCTGTCGCTTAAAGACGGGTGACGCCCACGCCCTTGTGCTGAGCAGAGCCCCACTCACCTGGTGCGGCCCCGGCTGCAGCACCTCCAGGACCTCCTGCACCGAGTCCTGAGCGCTCTTTACTAGCCGTCTGAGGGAGCCTAGAGGAAGCAAACCGCGGGCTGCTGCCATGCAGGTGTGCAGGATGAGCAAGATCGCTGTTTGTGCGATGTATACAGCAGCAAGTGGACGCGATTGATTGAAGTGTATTGCTCGTATCTTATAACCACGCCCATTCGTGCATACACGCGGTAAATTTGCACTGCAGGATGCTAAACGTCGTGCCAAGTGCCATAGTGCTGCTGCTGGCATACTCGTACGCATTATACCTCAACGCTTGAGTGGAACAAGTCATTAGCTTTCAGTCTAGCGCTGTTGCCCATCATGGCAGCGACCGGGCCGCTCTTCCAGGGCGTGGACAAGGACTCTTTCGCTTACAAGCTGCTGAAGAAATCGGGATGGGAAGAAGGAAGGGGACTGGTGAGCTGCGCTGTCGATTGTCGTCGCGCCGGCCGCCACCGTCTTTGATGCACCGCCGCCTCCGCCGGCCGCCGGACGGCGCTGACGCACTGACAAAGCCAGCGACCGGGTCGTTCCCGATTAAAGCGTTGCGGTGCCTGCTGCTACGCGGTCGCTCAGCCGCTGCGCAGGGTGGCCGCCGCGGCCGCCGCGCCCTGCTGCAGCGAGCGTTAGCCCAGCACGGCCAGGCCACCTACCGCACGCGGCCCCGCTACGCTGCCGCGCTCGCGTGCAGGGCGCCAACCAGCAAGGCATCACTGAGCACGTGAAGGTCAAGAAGAAGTTTGACGCTCTCGGTGTGGGCGCGGTGAGCTGTGCGACCCCAAGGGCGGCGCCCTTGCATGGGGCTGCAGCTGCGCTGGGATCAACCGCTAGGGCTGCCTCCTGCTAGTGCTATCCAGGGCAGAGCCCCCACCCCTGAGCAGACTGCAACGCACTGTGCTTCCCCGGGCCGGCTTCGATTGGTCGCACGGCTCATCCCTGCTGGCACGTTGTGCGCACAACCACGCTGTTTATCCGCCCCGCGCCGCTCGCACTCCTCTGCGCTTCAGCACGCCGACTCACCCCCGGCGCACCGCCCGCTGGTTTTTTTCAAACTATTCAAATTCGAATCAGGCGGAGCGCGCGCAGCACCTGCGGGACTGGACTACCGGGATGGTCAACTTTGACTCAGTCCTGTCCAGCCTGAAGGAGGTCAAGGCAGCAGGTGGCGGCGGCGGCGACAGCAGCGACGAGGGCGAGGACGAGGAGGGAGCAGGGGGCGGCAGCGACGCCGACGGCGAGGACGGCAGGAAAGCTCGCAGCAAAAAGGATAAGAAGAGCAAGAAGGATAAGAAAGCTGACAAGAAGGAGCGCAAGAAGGAGAAGCGGAGGCGCAAGGAGGAGGAGGCCGCGGCGGAGGAGGAGGAGCGCGCGCAGGAGCAGGAGGCAAAGCGGGTGAAGCTGGCGACGCACGTCGGGCGCTATGCGCGGCGTGAGCGCGCCAAGCGGGTCAGCGGGTACTCTGCCACTGACTTGGCTGCGATCCTGGGGTCTGCCTTCAGCGAGCCGCCCGCCGAGGCCGGCGGCGCGGACGGAAGCAGCAGCGGCGGCGGCAGCAGCCCGGCGTCGAGCAGCGGCGGCGAGGGCGAGGGCGAGGGCGGCGGCGCCGGAGCCGGCGAGGGCCGTGGACTGGGGGCCGCCGGCGGCGGGAGCGAGGAGCGGCTGCGGCCGGGCACGCCGGTGAAGGAAGAGGCGGCGCGCTCGCCTGCGGCTGCTGCGGCCGACGACGATGCGGCACCGGCGGACGACGCGGCGGCAGCGGCGCCCGCCAACACATGGTGGGGCAACATGTTTGTGCGCGCGGGCCGCGCGGGCAGCGGCAGGGACGCCAAGGGCACCAACAAGGCACGCGGCTTCTCTGAGCAGGACCAGACTGACCTCTACAACAAGGTAAGGGCGGGGCGCTGCCTGGGGTCGCTGGCGTTGGCGCAGCGGCGGTGCCTCGCGCGGGTGCGCACGTGCATGCGGCCCCTTCGCGTCGCGCAACGACGGGGGCAGCGGGGCAGCCCACCGCAACTCCCACCTCTCCGGCTGGCTCTGCAGCAGTGCAATTTTTCGGTTCTCCTCATCAAGTATCAACCCGCTCCTCGCACTTGTCGGCCTGTTGCCGCGCCCGCAGACGCACCAGGGCGCCACGCAGGGCCGCCAGGGTCTCGGCCAGTCCAGCGCGCCCAAGAAGGTCGGCGGCGTGCGCTGGCAGGGCAAGAAGACGCGCCTAGCCGAAAGCAGCGATGAGGAGGAAGAAAAGGACAAGGATGAGCAGCAGCAGCAAGACGAGGCAGCAGACGGGGCGGAGGCGCTGGCGCAGCAGGGCATCACCATCGTCGCCCCAAAGCGGACGCGAGACGCAGGTGTGGCGGCAGCGGCAGAGGGGGCCGCGGCCGCGCTGGAAGCTGTGGCGGCTGCTGGCAGAGAGGGCGGGAAGAAACAGAAGAAGCAGAAGAAGGGCAAGCAGCAAGAGCAGCAGCAGCATCACGAGCAGCAGGAGCAGCAGCAGCAAGGGGAGGACGGCGAGCCGCCTGGCAAGGCCGAGAAGAAGCGGAGAAAGGAGGGGTCTGCCGCGGCAGGTGTTGAAGAAGCGGCTGCCAAAAAGTCCAAGAAGGGCAGCAAGCAGCAGCAGGAGCAGGCGCAGCAGCAGGTGGGGTTGGCTGTCGCAGAGGATGGCGGACAGCAGCAGCAGCAGCAGCAGCAGCAGCAGCAGCAGCAGCAGGCCTCAGGCGGCAAGGTCAAGTGGGCGAGCGTTGCCGAGCAGCTGCTGGCGTCGGCGCCGAAGCGCCGCATGCGCGTGATGAAGCTGCACCAGCGGGCGCTGCGCGAGGCCGGCCTGGGGTCTCTTGCGCCGGGAGAGGCGGACGCGATGATGCAGCAGATGTTGAAGAAGCTGCGCAAGGCAGGGAGTTTCAGCGTTTGTGACAAGTATGTGCAGTTGTCGTAGTTGCTGATGAGTACAGTTTTATACTTGCTGTTCCTGTCACTGTTGATGCCGTTCCAGTTGTGGCTGCTGGCAGTGGTACTGCTGCTGTTACCTTTGCTGCTGCCGCCGCTGCCACTGCCGCTCTCTCGTGAAGAATGCGGTGGTTTTGCTGGTGCGGTGTGTGGCTGGCGCTGACGCAGACCGCATGCCTCTTGGTCTGTGAGCGGATTGACTTGGAGAGGCGCTCCTCTCCGACTCCTATCGTGGGGTCGCCTGCTCACTTGTGTAAAGGTGCGGGCGAGCAAGGATGGCCGGCAGCCTTGAAGTCATCGCCTCCAGTCAACTCATACCAAACCCTGGTCAACAGTATGAGGGGCGACCTTGGTTGAAGCTGTGCCCCTGCACCTGAGCAGAGCGACAAGTGAGTTTGTGATGCAGCATACGCACCTTTGCTTGCCAAGGGCTGCCGAAAGGGCTAACAGTACCGCATGGATCCCACGGCGCGCATCAAGTGGATTGGAGTCACTCGACGGCTCTCACCCAGCTCATACAACGCGGCGCTGGGCGAGATCGTCCTTTTGTTCGCCGTACTGCTGACGTCTGTTTACCTTGCAATTGTATTGATAATCATGCAGTCAGCCCTGTCCTCCACGCGGGCTGCGGCCTGCGCGCCCGCCAGGTGAGGCGGGGTGCAAGCAGTATGAGCAGCTGTAGTTTTTTTGCAAGAAATTAGATTTCCAGATCAAGCATCTTGCTCGCAGGTCTCACCGTGGGCGCGTCGCCGTCAGCGTGCGCGCTGCCACGGCTGCCCCTGAGCAGACCGGTGAGTGTTAATGAAAGGTGGGATTGTTATTATGCCGCGGGGCAGGAGCCATTGGCCAAAAGAGGCTCGACTGGTTGTGGGCAGCGGTAGGTGCAGCAAGCAGCAGTCGGCGCCGCGCCTACAGAGGGCCAGCAGCACGGCTCCCGGGTCGCAGCCAGCCAGCCTCATTCATCCAGTCAACTGTATGGCGGTTGCGAGGTGGCGCGCGTGGCTGGCGGGACCTGCGCCAGCCCTGTTCAGGTGGCCGGCAGCCAAGCAGCTTCAACACAAGCCCGACCCCCTGCGAGCCCGGCGCCACGGCGTCGGCAGCGCACCGCTCTGCGGGCCCGGCAGCGGCCACGCAACCAGGGCCCAGGGCGCAGGGGCGCGCCAAGGTTGCGGCGGCGCCTCTTGCCACCCCCCCAGCAGCCCGGCAGCCCGCGGCCCAAGCCCATCCCTGGAAGCTGCTCCTTTTCAACACCTTTGGCGCGGCAAGCAAACCCTCTCACCCCCCCTCCCTTGCACGCCTCGCACAAACAACACCACCACCTCCCCGTCCGCCAGGCGCCACCACGCGCGTCGCGCGCAACGCCAACTTTGGGAAGCTGCAGGCCGGTTACCTGTTCCCGGAGGTGCGGCCGCCCCTCATTCCCGGGGGCTGGTCGGCGTGGGATGATGCTATTTTTTCCAGGGGGGTGTGAGTTCGTAGAACTGGTCTGAAGCCATGAGACGTCTTAGCGGCCGCGCTGCAGCAGACGCGCTGACCGTTGGCACCTGCAGCAGCACGCATCTGTCGGCGACGTCGTTGACAGCAGGGCGTTCGCAGCAGTAGCAGCAGTACCAAGAGTGCCGAGCACGCGCCTACACAGGCCCCACCCCCACACACCTGCGT